CAGTGGAAAACAGAACAGAGAAACAGATACACAAATTAAAGAGTGGTTCCACAGCAACATAAAGAATAACACAGGCCAGAACAGGAATAGTAGTGAAAATATCATTCAGGCTTCTTGCCCGTAATTCTGACCATTTATCAACACAGATCTAACACCCAGATCCCTTCAAAATTAGTAGATAGGCTTTAGAGCTTTATTCCACCACTGGTTGGAACAATCCCCCTGTCATACATGACATATGTGACTGGTTTGTTTTAAAAGCACCAGTTTGATACCAGACACACAAGAGTCATGACATCCAATACAGCACTACACATTAATTAACATCCCTTCCAAACTTCTACTACATGCTTGTCTGCCTAATTCTGTTTTATTGCAGGAACACTATTTTCATGACAAGAACCCTTGTTTTTCTCTCCTTTCAATAGAAACTTAGTCCACATTTCACATTAACTTAGCTAACATTTCACAGATCTATTCTGCAAATTAATACTTTTAAAAAATCACCTGTACACCTAAGGAACATATTTTCTACGCAATCAAACAACAGTACTTCAAGAACTTGGGTAAGTTTTTGACTCCAAAGAAGATGGATACACCCCCCCATCACCAACACACTCAAGTTTTCTCTCTAAATGCCTATAATGCAGGGCAGAAACTTTTTAAGTACTTTTTTTTTTACAGTCCTGTCCTAGGTATGGAATTTTGTCATTATTTTCTATGCAATCAAACAACAGTACTTCAAGAAGTTGGGTAAGTAAGTTTTGGACTCCAAAGAGGATGGATACTCCCCCCCCATCACCAACACACTCAAGTTTTCTCTCTAAATGCCTATAATGCAGGGCAGAAACTTTTTAAGTACTTTTTTTTTTACAGTCCTGTCCTAGGTATGGAATTTTGTCATTCTACCATGCTGACAGACTGCACATTTCCCAAATTCAATATTACACTGAACTCCTTACACTGTATGGCCCTGAGTCTGGGAATAATGGTAGGACTTGCAGGAGGGCTGGAGCAGCTACTGATCAAGCTTTTCCTTTTATCCATCGTCGGAGAAGCTTGCACAGTGAATTTATGCTGGAAATCTGTTTATCAGAAGCAAAAGAAAAAGAAGAAATAGTTAAAATTTTTCTTTTAGTGTAAGAAAAAACAAAAATAATAATACATGGTAACTTTCAAAGAGCACAATTTACAGGATCTATGTAGAAATGAAGTTCTAAGCTAATAGAACAATCCCCCTGTCACACATGCAGCCACTTCAGAGCAAAGATGTGTGCTCACACTCATGAAGGTTTATCTTGTGCATGTGTGAGATACATACACACAGAGATCTCCATGTGTTGATTGACATTTGTGCAAAAGTATATCCCTCCATAAATCCCTTTCACCTTCCCTCTCCATTTCATAAGCTAAGCAGACCCACGAACAATAGGTGTTTACAGACCTAAAGAAAGGTGTAGTTAACATGCACATTTTATCATCATTGCTCTTCTGAAGAGCCAATCTCTCAGAAAACAAAAGAACATAGTGTAAGCCATCATCCGTGAGATAAGCCTTGGGTGATTTACAAAACCCACGCTTTTGTTTTTTCTTATAAATTTGAATCTCCATCCAGAATCCATGGCAAAAATGCTAAGGATTCAATAGTTTTCAAAACCACCATCTTCATCCTCAAGAGTGACTTCCCTGACAGCTCACCAATGCTTAATGTTTCTTCCAGAAGGGTGGTATTAGAGGTCACTTGTGTGTTAATGAGATCACACATGAACTAGCAATGTAAGGCTCTAGTCTCACAAATACCAACATATTTTTGATAATTTTTAGATTCCTGCACCAAGAAATCCAGTAGGTTATGGTTTCTGCTGCACCATAATGTAAAGTATTCCCAGAGCGAGAACCTCCATAATTTTCTGTGAACCTCCTTTGTTAAACTGATCATTTTGAGTATTAACATGTTTAACTGCAACTTCAACATTTTTATTGTGAACCATACACAGTCATTGATTAGCAAACATGTAACATCTCAAATTCACTTCTGGCCCTCACATCTGGAACTTCTGGGCAAGCTGGCCACAAAAGCATCAAATTTCATCTCTTGATCCCAAAGAGGCATATTTTTCCCAAACATGTTCCAACGCTTTTCAGTGGAAAGGAGCCACTAAATCTACCAGTTCACCTGTTCCTCCCATTTCACCTGACAGAGTCTAACACGTCACCAACCTGAAGGCAGGCTGATGTGGTTGCCATCTTTTAACTTCAGCCGGCTCCTCTTGAACTTCCCCATGCGTTTCTTCACCCTGGGCTTCTCCTGACACAGCTGGTGGATGATGATGTTGAGCTCCCTTTCCAGGATGTCGATCTCACGCTCTGCCAGCTCCTGTTCCCGCCTTCGCAGCAGCTCCTCGTGGTTCTTCTGCTCAACAGCAGCACGAGTCAGCTCTTCCTCCCAGGTGCGCAGCTCCTGCAGGGGGATAAGAGAGATGGAAAGCTGCCTTGTGACCTGTGGGTTAAGGCCAACATCACCTGTTCTGAAGGTAGAGCAGCAATGACTTGTGCTCACACCATTGCTGGCACCACTGCTTAAAGGCTCAGCTGAAATCAAAAAACAATCCACAAGAGCTTCTATGCTTGCCATTCAAGGCCCTTCATATCAGGATTAAAATTTGGATGTCAGCACCTGTGAGGCCACACCTGGAATCCTGTGTCCAGTTCTGGGCTCTCCAGTACAAGAAAGATGTGGATATACTGGACAGAGTCCAACCAAGGGCCATGAGGATGCTAAAATGACTGGAGCATCTCTCCTGTGAGGAAGGGCTGAAGGAGATGGGACTGTTTTTCCTAGTGAACAGAATGCTGGGGTGGGGGGCTCTTATCAGTTTATACAAAAACCTGGAGGAAAGGTGCAAAGAGGAAGGAGCCAGGCTCTTGTTAGCAGTGCCCAGTGACAGGACGAGAGGCAATGGGCACACACTGACACACAGGAGATGCCCTCTGAAACACTTTTTTACTGTGAGAGCTACTGAGCGCTGGCACAGGCTGCCCAGAGGGGTTCTGGAGTCTCCTTCCTTGGAGATACTCAAAAGCCATCCAGACACAATCCTGGGCAACTGGTTCTAGGTGGTCCTGCTTGAGTAGGGGAGTTGTTGGACTACATGACCTCCAGAGGTCCCTCCAACCTCAACCATTCTGTGATACTGTGAAAAGGCACTGACTGAATCCTAAATTCAGAGTCACGAGAAAATATGCTGAATATCTGACATGAACATGTGTACCAGAGCCACTGAAGAGGACTATGCATATGGGAACACATTTTGGAAGATTTATTCATAACATTGAAAGAATTAGTACTTGCTTTCCTGTTCAGTAAGTACATATGTTAACTTCAATATTGACTTAAATCATTTAACCTTGCCCTCTCATGCATCACAAAATAGTAAAAAACACAGCTTGAACATAAACATGAATGAAGCAAACATCATCAGGAGGTCATTCTGATCATTTTCTACCAAGCAGGGCTGCTCCTAGGCACAAAGATGCCTAAGGCAAGCTTTTCAATCTTTCCCTTGTTGACAAAATGAATCAACCAAAATTGTCCTTGATATCTCAAAATGTCTTCTCACTGCACTCCTCTCCTCTCACCACAAGGACAAAAGAATTTAGCACTCAGATTATCTCCAGCTGGCTAATTCCACTGCAGCAGGTAAAAACTGAAGTAGAATGTAAAACTTCAGATAGATTTTAGTTTAGATTTTAATTTTTTTCTTAATAACATCGTTATTACCTGTCCCATCACCACAGAGGTTTGGTACATTTTATTCACAAGGTGAACAGAATATAAAATTCTCCTTCTCTGTGGCTACAAAGGGATACAGCACTCAAAACTCGAGGGCAGCCTAGCTACTACTGTCTGGTCTTCTGTTTGCTGGTTTCCAGTTCTTAAAAACTCTTCCAACACAGTTACACCATGGGACAACAGCAGCAAGGCAAAGCCTATTAGCTATTTTATTTTTCCCAAAAGCTACTGTATTATGTGAACAGAAGAGTTTTAAGCATTGTTGTAGGACTGCTCTTCTTGCCCCAAGCTCTCCTTTCCTTTCCTTCTGCCTCCTAAAGCCAACACTGAGTCCAAATCAAGGTGGCTGCTTAAAATCTATTTTTAGGCAAGAGACTGTGAACCTAAAAAAAAAAACCATTATTACTTTAGCAAGTTTGCTTGAAAAGAACTTCAGCTTTTTCACTTCTACTCTTTGAGACTGATGGTTACAATTCCTTTCATCTCTGCTGGCATTTTTGTTACCCACTATTTACCCAGATGTACTTCAATTATAACAGCTGTTGGACCATCCTCCTGGTAGCACTCATGTTTACTCTAGTCTGTCCACTTTGGCTGTACTCAAAACCTGGAAAACACAAACCTGACAGAACCAAAGCTTGACAGAACCCATGTTTGCTAGTCTATACGTGCTGAAACCATCCCTCCTACTTTCACTGGCAACAGTTACCACTGGGCTTCTCAATTCAGATGCTAGCAGTGAAATAGTTCTCAGGTGAATTAAATAATGAAGACAACTCAGCAGCTTGCACAGTGTGTAACTCCTACTTAGTGGTAACTAACAGTTACCACTGGGCTTCTCAATTCAGATGCTAGCAGTGAAATAGTTCTCAGGTGAATTAAATAATGAAGACAACTCAGCAGCTTGCACAGTGTGTAATGGAAGCTCACTACAATATTAGAAGGAGCAGCTCAGGATGCAGATGTTTTGTTTACTCATGATTCGGTCCTTGTGTGCATCATAACCTGCCACTGATTCCAGGGACTTCATAGAGTCATTTCATCTGAAAAAGACCCTTAAGATCATCAGGTCCAACCACTAACCTAACACTGCCAAGTCCACCGCTAAACCATGTACCTGAGCACCGCATCTACAATGTCTTTTAAATACCTCCAGGGATGATGACTCCTTTACCTCCCTAGGCAACCTGCTCCAATGCTTGACAGTCCCTTTCTGTGAAGAAGTTTTTCCTAATATCCAATGTAAATCTCCCCTGGTACAACTTGAGGCCACTTCCTCTTGTCCTATCACTTGTTACTCGGGAGAGGAGACCAACCCTCACATCGCTACAACCTATTTTCAGGTAGTTCTACAGGGTGATAAGGTCTCCCCTGAGCCTCCTTCTTCCGCAGGTTAAACAACCCCAGTTCCCTCAGCCACTCCTCATGAGACTTGCACTACAGACCCCTCACCAGCTTCACTGCCCTTCTTTGGACCTGCTCCAGCACCTCAGTGTCTTTCTTGTAGTGAGGGGCCCAAAATCAAACCCAGTACTCAAGGTGCAGCCTCACCAGTGCTGAGGACAGAGGAACACTCACCTCCCTTGTTCTGCTGGCCACACTATTTCTGACACAAGCCAGGATGCTGGTGGCTTTCTTGGGTGCACTGCTGGCTCATGTTCAGACAGCTGTTAATCAACATCCCCAGGTCCTTTCCTGCCAGGCAGCTTTCCAGCCACTCATCCTCAAGATTTACTACAAGCTCCAATAAAGCACGTGCAAAATTAAGTCTGGAATGCACTAAATGGTGATCTCTGTTTGGATTATGAAATGGGAAAATTATAACCCAGAGAGTGCAAGCATTCAGTGTCTTTTTCTACTTACCTTTTCTTTGGCTCTGAGCTGATCAAACATCTCTTGAATTTCTTGTTTCCAGTCTTCCTGCAGGGAGTGGAAGGAATCTTTGGGCATTTCAAAGAAACCAGACTCTTCTATGGCAGTGAGATGGTCCAGGATACTGGCAAAGGAAGGTCGCGAGTGTGGATCAGGGTTCCAACAATCTAGAACAGGACAAAGACAACCAACTGTTAAGCATCTCTTAGTATAGAGGTTTGAGAGGATGAGAAGTACTTTACTGATCCCCAGTGGCTAAGTGTGGCATGCACACTGTCTGTGTTACCCCACCCTCCCCTTCCCCACTCGCACTGACTACTGTCCAATCACAAGTCAAGTTCAGAATCTGTGCTTTCATGCTTCTCAAAAATCTAACATCACTTAACATCTTGAACTACCTGGTCTCCACGTTCTACTGCAATGACATGTCAAGTAAAAGAGGGGTTTACTAATTTTACAGTAAGTTACATTTTCAAGCATATATTAAAAAAAAAAAATTCTTTAAATATTTTGCTTCAAGTTTTACTTACTCACAGAGTGGAGATACTACACAAGACTCTTGAGGACAGTTCTGTTATCACACTTGCACTGCAGAGCTCACAACCATACTACAGAAGGATATCTACCACAGCTCCTTCTAATGCCAAACTCTAATTCTAAGCTGAATCACTATGAATCTCTTCCACAGAACAGAAAATCTCTCCTACAAAGCAGACTGGGTATAACTTGAGTGAAAATAGGAGATTCAAGTCAATTACATAAAACAGTGGATTTGTTTTTCCTCTTATTTTTAAGGGTTCTTTTTTTATTACTTAAGATTGCTTCATCAGGCTTCTTTGATTTTAAAAGAAACACAAATAAACAAGCTTTTTAATTTACAATCTAATGCAACCACTTACACAACCACAGAGGTCTAAAAAAGCAGAATTTAAGGTACCTATCTTGCCACATGAGGCAAGTGAACTAGCAATAGTACAAAAAGGTACTCTTTTAACAGTGATGGGAATTGAGCACTGAAAACAGAAAGATGAATAGAAAAAGGTAAGAAGTAAGAGCTCAAGCTACCAAATCACTAAGAATATGTATTTAAAAAGCCATTATGGCAAAATGTTTGACTTAGAAACACTTCTGAATAGTAAATTCTTACTCATTCAGTCCTCCCTCATGCTTCACCCTTATTCCTCCTCCTGCAGAAAACATCACTTGCTCATTCTACACTGTCTCATACTGGCACTTACACAGGTCCTTGCTCAACAAGTATCCTGATTCTTTTTAGTACTGCCAGACTCCTGCATGCCAAAATTTGAGAATAACCAAACAGAAACACTTAGCATTCAAGTATACGTCTAGGGAATACAGCTGTTGTGCATGTATGGAAGAAACTAACACATGGGGGGCTGGGGGGTGTCCTCTCAGTATGCTCATACTATCATTTAAAAAAATAAGCTGGTGATGTCCTAAAAAGATGTTCATTAATCAGTTTTGTAGACTGAAATGCACCAAGGAGCAGTTTTAATTAAAAATAAAGAACACTGCACAAAGTCTGAGGTTTGGTTTTGCAGGTCTTTTCTCTGGTTTTAGCTTTACTGAGATTTTGCACTTGGGAGCGCTGGTTTCAAAACTGCTGGTATCAAGATGTTGGTATTTAAGCATCTGGTCAGGTTCCAGGAGGCATAAGCTGGAACACATTTGTGTTTATGGATTTCAAACTGCTTCCCTTATCAAAATAGAGAGCCAAGGATGTTAAAGAGCACTCTGAAGATCCCCTGCTGCTGACCAATTAGTGGCAATGGGTGATAGAGCTGGACTGTCAGCACCATAATCCCTGCCTCTTTACCCCAGGTTTTAAGCATGGCAAAGCAAACATGACCCAAAGTAAAACAAAATGCTGCAGCCAGCCAAATGCATGAATGAGTGAACAGGATAACTATGCAGGTGGCCCGTGGCTTCTATTTTCCCAGGCCTAGATCTGCCATTATTTGCACTAATGAGGACAGTTGTAACATACAAGTCTTTTCTGTGAAGAGGGAAAGTTCAGCTTTGTTGTCTCAGTAGAGACCACCAGGGCAGTAATTCAAAAGTAAAAGCAGCATTAGGGGAACAAGAGTTCACTTGAGATGAGAAACAGCCTGTTTGAAAAACAGTTTTGGTGAAGGGGCAGAAAGTAATTGTTTTACTTGTTCTCCTCTTCCCCCTGCACCTGGAGAAGCGAAGCGTTCCAAAGCCACGCGGGTGCTCACCCCTGTGCTGCTGGGTTCAAGCACAGGCCATGTGCCTCTACCTGACTTCCCCCAACAGAGGGCATTATTTTGGACCCCAGCAGCAGATACTTCACTTCTATGTAAGAAATCCAAGGTCCTTGTCTTCGGAAACCACCTCAAAAACTGCCCAGGAAGTTGCATTAACTCTTTCAGATGCAGATTCTTGCCTGACATTGCCTCCAAGCCACCATACCTGTAACTCTGCTGCTGTTCCCTATCCAGTATGGTATTTCTTTTTTAGCATAAGAGTATATGAAAGTTTCTGCTTTAACTTAACTGAAGCCCGTAACCTACAGAAAAAACTGGAGACATGCAGAAGTATTGTAAGAGCAGAGAAATCCGTAAGAAACATTTTCTTGCATGAATCCAATTCCTTTCTTGAGGCTTAAACTAGCACCAGAGGCCACAGAGTATCAGTCCTACATTCAGACTCACTCCTTGCTTGCTAATACTATAAAGAATGTTTGATTTCTCTTTACCTCAGTTTTTATTGCTGCCAGATAGGTATAAAAATCTTTCTTACATATAAAAACCTGGAAATCCTTGTGAATAGGGGCACTGAAATAAAAAAAAAACAAAACTCTAAAGGTACTACTGTGAGACAGGGAGGGAAGGACAGAAGGATGGAGGGAGGAACAGCTGAAGCTTGGCAGATACATAAACAGTTGCAATAGCCAGTAGAGGAGGTCCCACAGGTACACCCCAAAAGCTATCTCACAGAATCCTTTTTATTAACTCCAGAAGCTCTGATGACAAACTCCTATATTTCTTTCACCTTTATGTAGCCCACCTTGGGCATGAACTGGCTCCACACAGTAAGCAGAAAATCACATTCTGACCAAAAATGTGGGTTATTTTCAAATGTCAAAGTCACATTTAAACCCTCTCCCTGAAATGTCAGTAGAATAAAGTTTCATGCCGAATCAATCTGACACTGCCTAGCAAGATGTTCAGGATACAAATTTCAAAACAAGTTAAAGACTTCAGACCGGACTAAAAATATGTGAAGTTTTGGTGTTGGCAAGTCTTTACAACAACAACAAAAAACCACCAACAAAGTTGATGATGACACGAAGAGCCCTCATTTCCCTATAAAGCCAGCTGATAAAAAATGGCAGGGAAATTTCTTTCACATATGACTCTTGTAACTGTCACAGCTCACCAAGAGTCCGGCCTAGCTCCCATAA